AGAATATCTGAGTGCTCAGTATCGAAAGGTTTTTGAACACCCAACCAAGAATATAATAAGATTCCCTCCATTTTAATGGATCTTTTTACTTTTTTTAACAGTTTTGGTAGACAAATTCTATTTACATATATAGGAAACAGTAGACCTGGGATAGGCATGAATTTCTATGAGGATTTTCGAAACTATTCTACGAGTTAGGGAGCACTACGAATTGTTTATCTAATTAGTTTGATTTTCAAAAATTCTATATCACTAGTTTGAGCAAATAACCCATGCAAAAAGATACATTTATCCCAAAACATTTGCATTTTTCAGTCAGAAGGATTGGTGAGTGCCCGCATATATTCTTGCCGTAAACGTTTTTAAACCAGGTCATATTTCTTAATACCGATATGACAGCCAAAAATAATCTTATCACTGCGTTTTTGCCACTTTCCTGCTTATACGAGGAATATTTTAAACATATCATCATCATTAACGGCATGAGATTTGTGTTCAAGACTGATGCTTCACTGCCGTACAGCCATGATTTATTTGAAAGCCTCATTGTAGCGAAAATAATAAAGGTGGACAGGGAAGGGACTTAGTGCAAGCTTACCACAATCATTACGAGGTGACTACATCTCCATATATTCACTCAGGCAATCTGCATACAAACTGACACCAACAACGCCACTGACATCGGTTGGCAGTCATATCTTGTAGTGTCTCCAACCAGGCACAGTGAGGATCACGCGGTCCCCATCCTGGAAGGCGAATAGCACCGACAGCACTCAAGCGTTTCGTGATCTCCTTCATACTCCTTTGCCAAGTGAAGGGTTGGCCACCCCTCAGATTAAGCCACTAAGAAGTGGGCATGGAACGAGCACTCTCCCAGCACTCCCCTTGGGATTCAGGGATAATCCATTGTGACGCCATAGGTGTCTTGCAGATTCGTGCATTCACCTCATCTGTCATACTACAGTTGGGACTAATACAACTTCAAAGATATGTAAAACGCTCCACAACTTTTGGAGAGCTCGCAGTACACTCCCACATCGAGAAATATGAGAATACAAAGAACGTGTTATGTTCATAAACTTCCGGGGCATTCCTTGGTGCGCAAGCGTCTCAAGAAGAACAGAACGATCAACCGAGTAGAATGTGCCTCGGAAATCCAGGAATACTAAAGTTGTGGGTCGCTTATACGTATGGCGTTTTTCTAGCACCTCACAAAGTGTGAAGATTTAGTCAACACAACTCCCTACCAGGCCGGAATCCCGCTTGCTGCTCTCGAGTCAGCATCTCACGAGCCACTGTAAGGCGATGAAGCACAATTGGCGCCAACAGTCTCGTTATGACCGGGTCAGGCTGATCATTCTGTGGTTCCTACAATCACTATGCACCCCTTTTTTGAATACGGGTGCTATCACCGACAACCCCCATTTGTCTGGGACAGACTCCTTTTCCCACTTGCAAGGAGACGGATCGAACAAGTGCTGATTGAGGACTCCACTCCCGTCTTTGACCAGTGCGAGTGGGAGGTCATCCGGATCAGGTGCTCTGTAGCGCTTGAGAGAACATATGAAGTAGTAAACCTCCGAAGTTGTAGGTGGTTCCACGTTCAACGTCCAGAGTTCTACTTCACCTGTGGCCTCTAGATGAGTGCCGACTGGTGGCCACGCCAGTCTTGTTCGAAGCAATCAGCCCACCGGTCAAGGCGTTGTTCCTTATTCGAGATGGTCATTCCATTCTGATGTTTGATGGTTTCATTCACAGGTGGTTCCCGGGGACTGGTCCCACGGATCAACTGAAATAATCTTCTCGCATTCCAAGCTTTGTGGGCCTCTTCAATATCTTTGGCTTTCTGTGTCCACCATACCTCACGGTCGGATCGCAAGCTCACTTTCACTTGACCTCTGGTGACTCTTCGCACCGGGTTGTGTGTGGGACTGGCTGAGATATTTCTCCGAGATTTAAGCAGTGCCACCGTTCGGTCCGATATCCAGTGCTTGAGTGCAGCTGGTGATGCGAGCCACAGGCGAAATTCCCAGCATGATGCAAAGAGGGAGCAAGCTTGTCCCAGTGTGCGTTTTTATCTGACAGTTGAGCAGACGACTTCGGTTACTTCGGAATTACTGCAGGAAAACAGCCTGCAGTCAGCACGCAGCTGAAGCTCTAGTTCCCCATTGTCGGTACATAAGGAGTCCAATCCACGTCGACCTCCTAAGTGTGTCTCAGATACACTAAGCCTGCCCACTTGTGCATTCAGATCTCCGGCAACCACCACGATGTCTGAGCTTTTAACTCACGGCAGCAGGTCATTCAGGGCGTCGTAAAACCTGTCTTTGACAGCGTCGGAGATACAGTCATTTGGGGCGTAGGCAGACACGATAAACAGACATCCGTCAACTTGTGAGACTCCTTCACAGACGTTGCTGGTCGGAACTCACAGATGTGACTGTCAACATGCATCCAGTCAAGCGGAAATACTTCCGCCCGGTGACTTAGCACGGTACCAGCTTCTGGACATCCCGCTGCAGCACCCTCTGGATCATTAGAGGTGCGCAGCCGGAAGCGAGTGGAGACTGACGGAGCAGTTAGCTCATCACTGTGTTTGCACCTTGAATCTTCGTTTCTCAGACACAGCACACATCAATGTCAAGCGAATCCGATGTGGGTGCAAGAGTAGCTTTTTATCCTGCTTGCTTCAGAATGCGGACATTGAACGCGGCCAGATAGACTGGGTGTCGAGGCTTGAAGACTGATTTGGAGATTCCCGGGGATGTCGGTACCGTGTGACGAGCAGATGTTGCACGCAAAACCGATGCAGGACGAACGGAGTCATCAGTTCTAAGTGCTAGGCCTAAAAAGAAAGAGTTATTCAAGGAATGGGGAGAAGGGGAAGAAAATTATGTGAAAGAGAAAGGGAAGCGTCAGCAGTAGCCTATTTTCGCCTACCCGCCATGCCGTATGCAGAAAGTAAGCGCCCCGGCTGGTGGCTTCACGCGAGAGCCGATGTGGCATGACAGTATTGTTAGTCGTGAATGTCACGAGGGCTGGGATACTGCTAGAGTGCTCACACCTAGACAGGAGGACGATTAAGGTCCTCGACCGAAGCCTTTGGTTCAAAAGTCTAACTGCAAGGCAGCGGTGTTTGGCGGGAAATGCAAATGCATTACCATTTATACGGAACGAGTTCCAACCCCAGCCTGGAGGACTAAGAGAGTGTGTTCGTCAGACGTTCAGTCAGTGAACACCCTGGTATGGGAGACTCTGTGTGTGTCGCAGAGACACCCTCAAATATAGATCATTGGGTCGCTGAGGTGCTCAAACTGTCGCACCATTTTAAGGTCCAGTCTCTTCGTAACGGGCGTGATGAATGGGTGGCGTTTTATTCTACCAACTGGTATGTGCGTGGAAACACTCTCAGAAGTCTGGAGTGTCTATCCTAGAAAGAAGACAGGATTACGCGCGATTCACACGACAAGGAATGCTAAATGAAACTAAAAAAGTATCGATTTAACAACTGCATTTGGTAAGCAAGTTTGGAGGCTGGTTAGAAATCTGACACAGCTTTCGTGCATGGTGAATGCGGCGTGATGTACGGTCAGCGAGGACACAAACGAACATGCATCATGGACTTATTTGGTGTGAACTAAACAAGTGAACAGACGACCAAAATCTTGTGGCCAAACAGCTTATTACTGCTTTCGTTTGTAGGAACTTGAGGAATTTCCGGGGACGGTACATAAAATTTTGGAAAACTATGGGGGTATACACCTAAATATTCTGTGGTATGACTAGTTTCCGACTTTTCATTATTCACGGGTATGAAAATGTTTACGTACACGCTCACTGAATGACAACCTGTGCCAAGCAGTCAATTTCCAAAGTATGTTAGCTCAAACCATACTTTCTAGGGTAACCCTGATCTCCGGAAAAAATGTCCCCAAGATTGAAGAGTCTTTCTCAACATCTTAGAAACCGGTTAGTTTAACAACCTCTCCGTCCGGCACCGACGAAAACAAAGCAGTAAAAATTGGAATTGTTGTCACACAATGTTTGGGAGTGATCTTCATTCGTGGCGGGGCTGCTTTTCGGTGAAAAACCATGTCTTATCGTAAAAGTGGAAGCAAGAGGGAATTCTTTCCAAATAACACATCTTTGAATGAATGTCTTATCTGGATAGTGAAATATCGTGAACGCATTATTTGGGATTGCATGTTTGCGACCATCTGTCTCAAAATGTGTTGTTATCCAACAATGCTGTACTCTAATGCGGTCAGGTTTATTGAAGAACACCAAAACAATTTCGGACCGTTGATTGGTCGGAATAACCCAATGCGTCGGTCATGGCTCTACGAATTGGTACAGAAATATTTACAAATTGATCTGACAATAAATTTTGAACATTCCCTTGAAAGCTTTTGAGCCAATGAAAATAATAACACTGAAGTGTGTTAACAATATTCTCATTCTTGTAAGTCACGATGAGAAATAGAACTTCATCCTTTCCCCATCCCTATCTTTAGGTGTGCGTGTAATGATACAAAAAACAAACGTAGATGAAGGGGGTTGTGATTTGGTAAGCTTTCATTTTTTTCTCAGATGATGATAGTGAACTACACTGGTTTAAACCGTTCAGAATGCGATCTTAGAATTTGCCAGTATTCTCGAGCTCACAGTAAAAATCTAATTAATCCGTTCTCACTTCAGCTACCCCAAATCGCATCGGATTTCTTCAACTCGTTAGAATATAACTGCAACGATCTACACATGGAATTAGATCTATCTCTGGCGGACAAAGCTCTAGTACATATTGCTGTAGACATACAGCAGGCTAATGTGAACCCTCAAGACCCGTTTGCGGAACATTGGTTGAATTCTATGCTGTCGAAACCCGGGGAAATGTGTCGAACTACGCTTAAACTTCAACCACCCGAAGATTACTATGGTAGGTTTGAAAAAACATGATAATATTGCGACGACAGTTTGGTTTTAGTCGCTGAGTAGCAAAAGATCAATAATATTCGGCTCCTAACCAATTATTGGGTATTCATGTACATTTCGAAAGTCGGGAAATCTTTGATTGCTTTTCCATATCCCACAGCTTTCGGAAAACACAGTTTTTCATGCAGCAAGTCAGAATAGGCACAAATGTGTTACGAGTATGTCACACTACATCCCCACAATCACTCCTTTGATCTTTAGGGTATACAAGAGAACAGGAAAGGTTGAGCGTCAGTAAACCACACCTTGGACCACTTGCGTGGCAACCTTCTTTGTTTCTAATTTAACCTGGGAAACAAGTTAGGTGGCATTTCAACGTGACCTGCCGGGGAAAATCAATCGAAGCAAATTTTTCATCATTATTTTGGTGATTAAAACACTCAAGCTAGCGGGAAATAAAGATTTTGCATCAAATCAACAAACTACCCAAAAATGGACAGGCGGACAATATAATAAAAACTGTATTGGTTGTTGATCAGATGGCTGTTGATTACAGGAGCCAGGTACATTTTTGAATATATTCCTCCGTCAACTGGACAGAATTTCCAGGGTTTTGCTACCAGGAATTGAGTGTGACCAGTAAACATTTCATTCATTTTCTCCCTGGAACTCGAAACCTGTAGATTGAGCTTAAATCCGATTGGAAGACTTCTCAACGTCGTTCGTTTCAAGCAAAAGCACTGTGAGAAAATGGTTATAGTTGTAGCCACATTTAAAGTTGTTTTAACCGCTCACCAGATGTCCACACATGCAGGACCGAAGGGTTAGTTCACACAAAGGCTATAGCTGCCCGATTCCAGAATTGGGGACAGACGACTTTAACTATGCAATAAACGCGTACCGGCTTCCGATGTGCTCGGTAGAACTTTTGTTAACTGATGGGAACCTGCTTCATGTATGCGTATGACAAAAACGTGTGCATACGAATTCCTGTCTTGTAAAACCTGAG